GGAAAAAAAATCAGAAAAAAACCCCCAAAAACAAAAACCAAAAAACCAAAAACAAAACCAAAAAAACCAGCTACAGTCTTTCCCAAGAGCAATTGCCCTTTCTGGCAGGAAGGGGTAAAAATAGAGGCAGCTCATTAATATGGCTTGGCAGTGCTTAATGGCAGCTGGTCTGAAGAGTTAGATCAGTGGGTCTTTCCAGCAGTACTCCCGGATCACTGCCAGCAGGTGTTGCTGTGTTCTACAAAATGAAAAGAAGTGCGGGGGGGATGGGGAGAAAAATATTTATAAAGAGAGAAATAGGTGCGAAAAAAATTAGTCACTGAGTAAAGCTTTCATTAGGCCTTTGGTAAAGCTATACACAAACTCCCTGAGGCAATAAGGAGCATGCTCTGAAATGAATAATGCTTTTCACTTCTCCTAAACTCCTTTCAGAAGTTATCCTGCACTATAAATCACATACATGCCTGCTGTACTTCACTAGGTAGCTTTCTCTTTTTGTCACAGACCACACGCTTTCTCATCAGGAATTCTCTGACTCGCTGCCGTTGCGGGAGAAGTTCCGGACTGGCTGGGTGCTGCATCAGTAGATGGTCAGCAGCCTTCATACCAGCTGCTGCAAGTGGAGCACCACACTACTGTGAGTCCAAGGAGAAGATAGCTCTGTTACTTTCAGGGCAAATCTTCCATTCTCTGTAAAAACAGTGCAATACAAGATCCCTTGCTGAGCACGTCTGCTGCCAAATTGCAACAGTCCCTGCACTACCAGTATGTAACTAATTTCAAGAGTTTTAGGATGACAGTTAAAACCAAACTCACTCTGGTCCCGAGAAAAACAGAATTGCAAAATGGAAAAGTCTTTTTCCAAAACTCAGTTTAGGATCCCCATTAAAAATAACTGTGAATAGCTAGGTATATGCATGCTCATTATCTGTTTCTTGAAGCAAGTCTCTCACTGCTACAGAAGAAAAAAAAAAGGGAAAAGAAACCATAAAAAAGCTGTTCTTTATAACAACTGGAACCACCAAAATCAGACTGCAGGAAAGCTACTGAAACCTGTTTCAAGAGGCTTCAATCCACATCATGTTACAGCCTGAAAATTTCTTATATGCACATTAAAAATGGGAAACAAAACAACCTATCTGGTCATATGTTTCCCATTAACTTCTGATTTTTTGCTCATTCTACCAAAGCTGTTGTGTGAATACAGCACATGCTCTAGTTGGGATAAACACTGCTTTAAGGACTCTCTGGTATCACTGTAAACTGAAAGTTTTAAATCTTTCTTCTCTGATCCAGATCAGCCATATTCCAAGACAGATTAAACTGACATTACCAACAGGACATAAAAATACAATTATAAGTACGATTCAGGCCAAAAAAAAATCTGAAGGATGGGGATTTTCTGGTAATCAGTGGGTGTTTTGAATGAGTAAAGACTGCATGATCATGCCATTTGTCATAAATGGTACCACATAAAGCCAGTTATTATGTGTGTTTAAGAAAGGAGATGGATTTTAGATTTACTTTTGACCTTATATATATATATATATGTATACACATATATGTGTATATATATATATATATGATATATATATTATATATATATATTACTTCTGTACTGCCTAATTGGCATAGTTATTTCTGATTTTCATTAAGGTAAAATGAAATGAAAACTGATTTTTATTTTATTCCACAAGTGTTAATATCACACTTGCAAAAAATGTGACTTGTCATTCATTGTATTTTATTTTTAGATGTCTAAGCCATTTTTAATAGTGTGATGCAATCTGCATGTCAAAAAGCCAGGAGACTTGGGCAGGAGCAACATGATTCATTTTTTAAGAGCTTTAAAGGGATCCCTAAGTTAAACAGAAGGACATATTTATTCAGAGATTGAATAAAAAAAAAATCATCCACAGCAAAAGGATTCTTACTAAAATGCATTTTCCTGAATTTGAAAAGGATCCAAATTTGCAGAAAGAGTATCTGATATATCCTGAAGTATGAAAGAAGAAGAAAACAATTTGCAAACTGGTAATTAAATATCTGGCAAATACTATATTTAAACTAAATCAGTGAAATCTACATCTAATAATATCTATATAGCTATGCAATGAAACAAGCTGGAGTGTGTCTTCCTGACTCATAATGTTTGCTTTCAGTCTGATGTTAAGTTCTATCCTTTAAATGGAGATCACCACTACAAGTTGAATCCACGATATTTTGTCATGCTAGACAATTAGGAGTTTCCATTAGATAATTACCAGAAGTATGTCTCATACAGGAAAAACAGTCAATGCTGATGTAACAGGATTAACCAATCCAGCACAGTGATCCGGCCCACTTACTTTTGACAGACGTTATATGTGAGTGTACACATGAGAAGTACAGTACAAAGCTTCGCATTATAAATACCACAAAGAGGAACTTCAGCAGTTCTTAGTGCACAATACAGCAGTCTCCTTCTGAGAGTCAGGACTAGAGAGGTAAAACTTTAAATGGGCTTTTTTCTTTTAAAACCGAAACTTTTAATTCCTGTGCATGCTGTTGCATATTGCTAGGGTTATATTGCATGAATACATATACAGACCTTTGCAGCTCAGGTAATTTTATAGAAAGAGTCTGAACCACCATTTCTGTATGTATTCAAATGCTATGTATTTTTGTACACATATGTATATGCATGTAAGTACAAATGAACTGGAATCAGCGGTATTGACAGACTCTTTTAGAAAATAGTGGTTTTTAGAAAGTTATGCTTTAATGTTAAATCTGTCATCATCATGGCATGCAAGTGAAATATGCTATCCCTATATGTAATAGAGATTGTATGCGATAAGTGTACCTCTAGTAGATGGCAAGCAACGTATACTCCACAGCAAGAACCCAAACATACTTGTCTGTATTTTATATTGGTTTATGTCTATCTTTTCCTTTTCATCAGACACTATTGGGATAGGTGCTATATTAGAACTATAAATAACTCCTTTAATTATGTCATCTGTTAGTACATCTAATCATGAATGCATATTTTCATCTGAAATTATTTTTTCGTCCAATTAAACTTTTAGTTCTATTTCAAGCTGACTTTCAGACTTCGTATAATTACAACAGACTTTGGGCTGTTCACAAGATCCAAGAAATTTCAATGTATTATAGTGAGGTTTGTGTTACAAAGATGTGTTTATAAGAATGGCTGCAGGGTTTATAATGCTGACAGACCTGTAAGTGTAACAGTATATAACTGTATAGCAACTGAGGTCAGTAAAACACAGATGAGGGTGTACTGTGGATGCCTTATAACAGTAAAAGACTTATAAAAGAGCTTAATTGAAAAGGACTTGCAATATATAACATTTGTAAAACTTTGGTTGATTGTTCAATTACTTCTGTGTGTTTCATTTACTCTAACTATAATTCCTTGCCTGTCTCTTAGCCCATGTGCCTGTAGTCATCTCATGGAAATTAGAGACTTCTAAATGCTTATATTTATAAATTATTCCTTTCCACTGTGAAATACAATGGTTGATGGTAATATACTGAAAGTGGAATATTTGCTGGGTCGGAGGTAAGCACACCTGAGAAGATAGACCTGTGTTAGAAAGAGAATGAAAGGAAGGAAAAGGGTAAACACTTAAAAAAGAAGAAGCTGTTCTAAGAAAATCTGTACAAGTTAACATCCAGAGGGGAAGAATCCCAAAAAGTTATAGTTATAGCTGTAATTTTTCCATTTTCCATTATCAAATTCAAATGTGAGCGAGTTGGCTAACTTCAGCTTCGCTCAGTAAGGAACAGAATGGAGAGGAGACAGAATCTGAAGGCAACATGAAGCCATGGCAGTGACATCGGGAATGCTTTTTCACTGTAGAGCATAAACTGTCAAGGGGCTACCAGCACTGGTTGAAACTCCTGCTCCTAGTAATGCTTTAGATTTCTTTTAATTCCTACTGTCTTATTCTAATATTATGATTGCTCTGCATGATTTAAATGAATGAAGCAATACATGCCTTTTAATAACAATGGGCCAAATGTAGAAGATCTTACTCAGCCTTCACTCAGACAGAATTATTATTGGCATCGATGAGGGATTTGCTTGAGCCAGAACCAAGTATGATTTGGCCAGATGACATGTAACAATTTTTACCTTCAAAACATTTTTCAGGCATTGCTTGATTAACCCCAAACCTAAATATAACTACCTGAGAACTTCTAGGCACAGACTAGCATAAAAGTAGGGGTATTTCTGGTGGGAGGGCACTACCTTCACATCACAGATATGTGCTGTACCAGCTCATGTTTAGACTCTCAGTGCCTGACTGCATATTGCAGCTGGGGAGTGTATCATGTATTATAGAGCCCTCCAAATAACAGTGTGATTTTGCACCCTTCAGATCTCTTGCCAGTGTTAATAACCTCCAGAAAAGATCTTTTTCTCTACTCAGGGCAGAATAATGTTCTCTCCAAAATATTTGGAGCCACTCCCCTCATCCCCATCTCTTTCACAAGCTATTTAACATCTCCTGCTATCCCTAACAATAGCAGGCAGGACCAAGAGTAAGGTGCTCGTTAAAGATTTCACCCTTTTCATTCATTCATGTTTCCTCTGTTTAGTTAAGCCAGTGATACGTCGAAGGAATAAAACAAACAAAACAAAACAAAAAGAAAGTGGGAAAAAAAGGAAAAGAAAAGGGGGAAATGACAGCTGGGGGGGAGGGTCGAACGGAGAGAGAAAAAGAAGAGTAAATTTACAGGAATGAGAAGAGATTTTAGAAAGGGAGGAGGGAAGGAACCACGAGTAGTGATATTTGAAGAGAGGTGTGTGTTAGGGGAGCAATGAGCATAAGGAAGCCAGCCTGCCTGTTCCTCCCCCTTCCTAATCATAGCCTTTACTCACAGACAAAACTCCCTCCCTCTCTCATTCACTCACTCACTTTAGGCCAATCCGTCCTCTCTCTCTCTCTCCCTCTCTCTGTGTCTCTCTCCTACTCTGAGACAGAGTCAGAACTCTTCTCCCTGACAGCCACAAACATCTACAGCACTTATTGCATTCAGAGAGGGAACCTGCAAACAAAACTTCACAGAAAACTTTTGGTTCTTGTTCCAGAGAATTTGCTGAAGAGAAGGAAAAAACAAACAAACAAACAAACTAACTAAACCAGCCCCCCCCAAAAAAAACTGTTCGTGAAGGGGGAGGAAAAGCAGGGCCTTTCAAAAAGGGAATCACAACAACTTCTGCTGCCAGGATGCCTTTGCTTTGGAAGAGAGGATTTCTGTTGGTGCTTTGCTGGATTATAGTGAGGAGTTCCCCAACCCCAGGATCCGAGGGGCACAGTTCAGTCACTGACTGTCCATCATGTGCCCTTGCCACGCTTTCAAAGGATGTGCCCAGCTCACAGCCTGAGATGGTGGAAGCAGTAAAGAAGCACATATTGAACATGTTGCACTTGAGGGACAGACCTAATATCACCCAGCCGGTGCCCAAGGCAGCACTTTTAAATGCCATCAAAAAACTCCATGTGGGAAAGGTGGGAGAGGATGGTTATGTGGAAATAGAGGATGATGTTGGAAGAAGAGCTGAAATGAATGAAGTCGTGGAGCAAACCTCAGAAATCATCACTTTTGCAGAATCAGGTGAGTGCTTGAAAAGCAAAACTGTAAAATATCCTTTGTGCCAAAACTGCAATTAAGTTATTTTCTTCTCCTCAGCAATGTTTTCTGAAAGATTGTAGGATGAGACTTGGGGGAAGGGAGAAGAAGGAATGGGATGGGGGGGGTGGTATAGGACTCCAAAGGAATTTGACTTTTCTGACTTAGTCTTGGCTACAGCTTACACTTGCTAAGTACAGTCAGCCACACAGGGAAGTCAGGCTGCAGCAGGGTCCTCCAAACTGTGTCTGTGAAGCCAGAGTACTTGCAGTAAAGTACTGGATTGCAGAGTTGATGGTGAAGGAAAAAAGTCTGAAGCCTTTTGGAGAGTTTATCAAGACAGAAAGTGAGCTGCAAACTACTTTAGAAACAACCTTTCATGTAAAAATTAGAGTGGAAGTTATAAAATCAGATGAAGCAGCTTTAACTGTTAAAAGTGAGAGGGCTTTTTTGTGTTGGTTTTTTTTTTTTCTTTTTTTTTTTTCTTTTTAATTTAACACAGCATCTTTGGCAATAAAGAGTTGCAGGGACTGTCAGATGACTGCAATAGAACCGGACAAGTTGCTGTAGCTGATCCAATTTGTAATGCAGACTTCTGCATACTGGAAAAAAGATTCTGTTCCTAAAACATTCCAGCCAAAAAATGCAACCTTGATATGGTGTATTTTGAACTCTTTCACAGTTCTTTTCCCCTAACACTTACACAGTAAGAGCTCAGAATATATATATTTACTAAGTAATGGCTTAAGACTCCTTTCAACTGCTTATAGGAAACAGCTCTAAAGTTGTACTTTGCTGTGCTGTTCCTACACGAATAGGACCAGAACCCATTTTAATTCAATGTATACGTATCTACATCTGCATATATATCTGTTATTATAAATGAGTATGTTCATGCATGCATCAATAGCAGTATCTTGCAATAACTCTATCATCTAACTAACAGCAACTTTTTATGATGCTGTCTAGCCAAAGCATTTTTCCTGTTGCCAAGACGGTTTTAAAAGAATGTCATTGTTTTGTTTGGTACAGCATATGGTAGGCAAAGTATGCAAAGGAACTCCAAACATTTTTGTTTAAAAGTTTGCTGCAGCAGTATAAACAATTAAGACAACACTCAGAGTTTCCAGTCCTGAAAACCTGTTGACTCAGATGTTCTGATTGCAGGGAAGCCGTGCACAAGAAGTGTGCATGCTTTTAAGAACAGACATTCCTTCTAGCTGTCTGATTTTCAACTGTACAAGGAATCCTTGCCTTCGGAGTCCTTGTCAATATACACATCATCAGTTCTTTCAGTATGAGAGCTCAGGCTTTTCAAATTTTCCATCCCCTCCTCTTCAGAAAGCAGGCAGAAGGTGTCAATGCCAGAGGTCATAGGAAGCAGGGGCAGCTCAACATTAGTTTAGAAATGAATTTGTAAAAGCAAGGAAATCTCTAAGCTATCTATGAGTCGGATTCCCCACCTGGTTTTCAGCAGCTCGCTCTGAGCACAGTGGAACACATATGGCATGAACAGTGGTTTCTCTTCACTGTGTGAGTCCCAATCATTTGTAAACACATTATTGTCTCTCCTGAGCTCTGACACAAAGGAATTTGGAATTTGATATATGCCTACTCTGTAAGACACCCTCCAACAGCGGCTCCCGAAGCCATTGGCTCTCGGGGTCACGTGAGCAGCAAAAATCATGCCATTGCCCACACACTGGCCAATCATCCTGCCACCAATCCCCCCCACCACCAGCTACCCAATACTGACACATCACTCAGTTTGATTTACATAGCATTGTCCTACTGCTGCTAGCAAAATTAATTTAAGAGCAGTTATGCTATGGAGTTGCACGGCTGAAGGACAGGGGCATCCTGGAAGCCAAGGCAGGAGGGCTAGTCTGTACCTTTTTCCCATACCTGCTAGGCTTTGATTTGGGACAAGGGAGGAGCAATTAGCAACCTAGAAACCAAGCTCTTTGGGTTTGGACTTATAATGGAAGTGATAACTGCACTCTCTGGAGTAACTTCAGACTGCTGAAACATATTCTTCATCTATAGCCATTCATATCTGATGTCTTTCTAACATCAGAGGATCTACCACATTTTACAGGTGCTAATGCTGCAACAACTTAAATAAACTCCACATGGGATCTCTTCTCATCATGCACAGGCAGTTTTGCTTGTCAAATATTAAAGCACTATGTTTTTCCTGTTAAGGAAAGTGAGGCAAAAGCAAAGACAAGGGAAGTATGAGTTAAAAAGACAGGAATAGAATATAGCCACACGGACAGTCCCACTTTTCATTCTGTGAAAACTGGGAATAGGATGAAGAAGTTTAAACACCAAGTAGGAGAATAAACATGTTCCTCTCACAGTTGGGTTAATGTTCTTTCTGCTTTTAATGTGGAACTCACTCAGTCTCAATAGAGGGCAATAAGAAATCAATGAAAATGAATGGAAACATCTCACGTTGTATCAAATAAAAGTCTATGAAAAGAAAAATAAGGCTTTAGGCTTCTTGTTCCTTTGGGTATGGCTTGACATAAACCAGCCATTCCTCATACCTTTCAGAAGCCACGTTTACTACTTGCGTTCATAAAAAAGTAGTATTTCCATCTTTCATCAGCCATATCCTCAAACATACAAAGAAACAGAGTGAATGAACAAACAGTGCCCTGTGCATGTGGCTCTGGCTTGAGACTATTTTCTAAATAGCAAAGTTCAAATGAGCACAGACTTCAGACAATTAGAGGGGAAATAAATGCAGTGAACTTGTCTGAAGCACAGGTGTAGTTATGTCCAGGAAATCAGCAAAACAGTTGGCAGGTAGTTTTCACAGCTAACAAATCCAGACAGATCTCTGCAAAACTAATGACCATGAGTATTGGGCAAAAGTTTACAAATGCACCCTACTGTCCTTTGGCACTCTTACAAGTAAAACATGAAAATTATTTTCTATTTGCGTATCAAACTAAGATTACTAACCTCGGTTAGTTGTACTATGAGGGTAGCCATGCCAGAGTTCTGTGGGTTACTTCGAGGTCTTTAAAGAGTGTTTTGAGGAGAGGAGTCATATAACTTTGCGACAAGCAAATCCAACAGGTTCTATAACAGAGATACTCAATACTCATAAAATATAATTGGCTACTAGCTCACTTATTATTTTAAGTAGATAGCTTATTAGGCGGATCTGGGATTTTGCCAACTGAATTTGATCCTGGCAAATAAACTACCAATGAAACGGGTTGCTAACATCAGCCCCCGAGAAGGTGATAGGAATTACTGGATGGAAATACTGAAATCCAAAGGTTTATTGTTAGGAGAACTGCCAGGGGAAAAAAAGGAGATATTTGACAGCTATTTAGACAAATTCTATCGTTTTGTACCACTTCATACTGAATTCAAGGTTAACTGCCTTGATCATGTGATGCCCACTTTCATGTGCAGATGGATGCATGTCTGTATATACTCATGCCTTTTCCTAGGAAGATACTTACCCCTATGCAGCCAATCTGGGAGTTCGGGAAGAAAAAAAAGATGTATCGCTTATGTCTCTATGAATAATGTCATCAATTTTCTTTTGAAAGGAACTGTATTTAGTAGTACAGGTATTCGTGCTGAGTAAAGAACGGCCACGAGAGGGCACACTCCAAAGGCTTTTTGCTTCACACAAGGCAACCTTCCTTCAAACTCTTATTTTACCTAATTGGATCCTGACTCTCTGAGATCTTTATGCTTATCTGTAGATTCTCTGAGTGCAGATTGTTCCTCTCTTCTAGTTTATTTAAAAGGCAGAGATTCACTGGAGTGGAAAACTGCAAGGAAAATAATACAGGAAGGGAACAGACAGAGGGGAAAAAGATAAACTGATGGATGCTAAAAGTTCTGGAAATCTAGAGAGATCAGAAATTATCAATATTATTTTTTACAAGATACTGAGAAATGTGACCATGAATCATCATCTGAGATGGTTTGCTCACATCTTTTTTTTAATGCAGTCTCCTTGGCTTTTAGAAAACAAGCCTATTTTCCCTTGATTATTTTTTCCTCTGGTATACTATGTCAAAGATTTCAAGTTTAGGAAATGAAATCAAGTTAATTCCAGAAGAGGAAAGCCATTCTGTAATAATCTGTTTTATTGTATTAAAATATGAGAATTCAGGGAGGTTGGTTGTTTTAAGAACAACCTGAGAAAGCACAGATGAACCTGAGAAGGTGGGAACCAGTCTAGAAAAAGAGACCTGAGAGAGACAGAAAGTACTGTATGTGTCCATATCTGTGTGTAGTCATGCCCACAGATTTGTATGGAAAGGCAGTTGGGAATATCTGAACGTGTATTTGCCTGTATGTGTGTATAGGCACACATATGTCCTTATGTACAGGCATGCTGAGGCAGACATGCTTATATACCTGTGTGGTTTTACACATAACATTCCTGTGGAAAAGTATGTGTATTCACACGTTTTCCTGTGTGCAGGATATATCTACACTGCATACATGTAAATGATTCATGCTGAGAAGTTCTTATATCTAGATATGTCTATGAAAAGGCAATGAAAGGCTATGAAAAGGCAATCTCATTTAATGCAACAGAGTTTTGCAACATTGATTTAGCACTGAAGCTTAGTCTACTGGAGAGCAACTAGAACTTCTGTTATTCATTTCAGTGGGCTTGAGGTTTGGGCCTTAGTGCACAGAAATTAAATATTTTAGTGAAAAAAGACTGGCGTCTTCTAATCCACTTAATTTTAGATTTTACAACAAATTATTACAAATATGTGCAAAAAATTGCTATCTCTTTTATAAAAGACAAAGACTTGGTATTGTTTTTACCTTGGAATATGTTATTGGTGCAAACGACCCTAAACTTCACTTCAGCTATTTCAGACATAAATGCAAAAATCAAGTAAAAAAAAAAACCACTTCAACTAAACAAACACCTTTTTTGTTTCTAAATATTTAAAGCCATGTGGGGGAAGGGCTTTTAAGTTGGAAAG